AACAACAGCAACTGCAACAACACAAGCAACCGCAGCAACAACAGCTGCAGCTGCAGGAATAAACATCAATATCAAGAGGAACACGACTAAACATTGAGTAACTCATACTATATTTATATTGTGCTTTTGAAACACTTTTTACACAATGGAATCTTTTTGTTGATTGGTGCTCTCGTATAGAGCTCTAAGTGTGACGTTAATCTCATGAGAAAACGACTTCCGGGTCCAAAACGAAAATAAGTTCTTCAAAGATTCGTTTTACTTTTTTTTTTTTATGAGAGGATTTGACGTCCAATTAATGTTCTAATCTTCGGGTAGAAGTTTTAATTATGCTAGGTTTTATAAACAGTCGGACCCTGAAATACGTCACATCTGAAAAGCTCTACACCAAAATGGAAAATGAATTGCTAAGTTTGGATGCTCTTTTGCACTCCAGGCAAAGCGCTAGTGTTATCCTATTAAATTATGCACGAATTTCCATTTTATATATCCTATTTAAARACTAATGAATAATTAATGAGTCTTTGAAACAATTGGAAAGACTATGCAAGTCTCGTGCATGGACTTTTACAGTGCGACGCGCCTAATTGACACCATTACACTCATTTTTTACTAGTTAGTCAATCAGACAGCGAGAGTTTATGCATTTGCACGTGAAATTTACTGAGAGCAAATCAATGAACATTTTGATTTCCATGTGTGAAATATACTGGTGAGCAAACGAAATATCTACAACTTGTTTCGAGAGATCGTAATAAAACTGCATTTCGTAACACACTGGATACACATGTTTTCATTCAGTTCTTTACAAGTAGCTAAAAAGAATCACCAATTTAAGATAAAATAAAAAATTTTGCTCACCATTACAGACACGTGGACGTTAACTGCAAAGGGCCTATTATTTAGTAGTCTTTGTAAACCTCATAAAGTCTTATTCATTAATATTCTTTTGTATTAAGAATACTAATGAGGACGAAAACTTTATATAAAGTCTCATCCTTATTAGTATTCTTTGACCACCTATTTCAATGAACGTTGTCGTCGCCAAAAGCGAGAGGCAATATGCAATAGGCGAAATACGATAGGAGATGGTCATTCTAAGATCCAAGAATAGCTGGAATAACTTGTGTTTCTGCTTCTTATTCTCGTCAAGAGTATGGACCTTAGTGTTGAGACTGATTAGATATTCTTTGTATTCAACGAAGCCATTTCGATGTCGGAATGACCTTTCACCTTTGGGGATGACGACATTTATTGACTTAAGTCTACCAATGAGGACGATTTTATTAGAGATGAAGCTTCATCCAAATTTATAGAAGAAGTCGTAGAGCCCCATGCATCATAAAATATTGTCGAAAAGTGCCCCTGTCTTGAGCTTGGCATGCTGTCTATCTCATAATTTGATGGGGTAAAGGGCGCACCTTGGATCACTTTATACAAGAGACCCTGGCTCGGGAGAATTGGGCAACCACTCCCCTTGTTATCTCAGTAAAATAAATTACCTTAACCGCTTACGCACATATATTTTGTATGTTCATTATATCATTTCAGGTATTTATTCATTTCTGTTAGTTCAATAATTTCTTGATTTTTATGCATAAATTTCAAAAATTTGTTGAATTAATTGGTAAACTACTTGTAATATTTCAATTTAGTGGGTAAAAAGGAATAAAGTTGTAAAGGTCCAGGTACTTTTTGTATCGCGGGAGGGAAGGGTGGAGGGGGGGTGAGGGGATGGGAAGGGAGGGGAGGGGGTAGAGGTGACGAGGAGGTGAGGAAGGGGGAGAGGTGAAGGGCAGTGCTGGAGAAATTAATACCTAATTTAATGAAAATGTATTTTTTATCCTGCTCCCATCAAAAGCAAAAATTCCTTCACCCTCTCATTTTAAAAAATTAAAGTTATTTCTGTGCTTTTGAAAATTTGAAATTGGTTTTTTTTTGACTAGCATTATATCCCTCTTTTCCGTAAATCATATGGCAGTCGTCACTCTTTTTACCAACCACATCCCCCAGGAAATAAATAATGAATGGTCTCTAACGTAAATCGTAAGTTATAAAGTTTTTCCTTTTGCTTTTCGATAAATTCCCTGCTTGGACTGCTTGTGATTGTTTAGTATCCCATGGTGTTATTGGTCGGTGCTATTTCACGGATATGTGGTTGACACTCTATATCATGAATTTGATATATCTTGTAATATTCTTAAATCTCCTTTTTTTTTCTTTTCTCTTTTTTTTTTTTTTTTTTTTTTTTTTTTTTTTTTTTTTTTTTTAGCCTC